TACTGCAGATAAAACTAATTACAGGCTGTTATTTGTGTATCGGTTCTTGCATTGACGGAGTGAGCGATGTATGTTGGGTAATGGCACAGCTAGCGATTGGGTGAATTTATTGCACCGGTTTTATAAACTGTTCTACAATCCTTTTGATATTTGGAAATCTGTCGATCATTCTGCTACAGCTGTAAGATATCTTCTCCAACTCCTCTGAATACATGCAGTCATTTTACCGTCTGCTTTGGCTAATCACGCTCTTACGTATTAAATTAAATTAAATGCCTAATAAAAAAGCTGGCCTCACAGGGAGCACTGGCCCTGGTGTAATGTGGATGGCATCAGCAAGTAGCACGGGCCCTGGTCTGGTGATGATGGCCTCACAGGAAGAACTGTCGCTGGTATAAAGTGTATGGCCTCAGCCAACAACAGTGGCCCTGGTGTAATGTGGATGGCCTCAGCCAGCACCACAGGCCCTGGTGTGGTGATGATGGCCTCACAGGAAGCACTGGTAGTGGTGTAATGTGGATGGCATCAGCCAGTATCACAGGGCCCTGTGTTTTGTGCATGTCATCAGGCAGAAACACAAGCCCTGGTGTTATGTGTATGGCCTCAGCCAACAACAGTGGCCCTGGTGAAATGTGGATGGTATTGGCCAGCACCACAGGCCCTGGTGTGGTGATGATGGAATCACAGGAAGCACTGTCCCTGGTGTAATGTGGATGGCCTCAGCCACCAACACTGGCCCTGGTGAAATGTGGATGGTATTGGTCAGCACCACAGGCCCTGGTGTAATGTGGATGGTATCAGCAAGTAGCACAGGCCCTGGTGTGGTGATGATGGCCTCACAGGAAGAACTGTCCCTGGTGTAATGTGGATGTCCTCATCCAACAGTACAGGCACTGGTGTGGTGAAGATGGCCTCAGAGGAAGCACTGTCCCTGGTGTAAAGTGTATGGCCTCAGCCAACAACACTGGCCCTGGTGAAATGTGGATGGTATTGGCCAGCACCACAGGCCCTGGTGTAATGTGGATGGCCTCATCCAGCACCACGCACCCTGGTGTGGTGATGATGGCCTCACAGGAAGCACTGGTAGTGGTGTAATGTGGATGGCATCAGCCAGTATCACAGGCCCCTGTGTTTTGTGGATGTCATCAGGCAGAAACACAAGCCCTGGTGAAAAGTGGATGGTTTCGGACAACACCACAGGCCCGGGTGTAATGTGGATGGCCTGTGCCAGTAACACAGGCAGTGGTGTGGTGAAGATGGCCTCACAGGAAGCACTGTCCCTGGTGTAATGTGTATGGCCTCAGCCAACAACAGTGGCCCTGGTGAAATGTGGATGGTATTGGCCAGCACCACAGGCCCTGGTGTAATGTGGATGTCCTCAGCCAACACGACTGGCCCTGGTGAAGTGTGCATGATATTGGTCAGCACCACAGGCCCTTGTGTACTGTGGATGGCATCAACGAGCAGCAGAGGCCCTGGTTGGGTGAAGATGGCCTCAAGGGAAGCACTGTCCCTGGTGTAATGTGGATGGCCTCAGCTAAGAACAGTGGCCCTGGTGAGATGTGGATGGTATTGGCCAGCACCACAGGCCCTGGTGTAATGTGTATGGCCTCATCCAAAAGCACACTCCCTGGTGTGGTGAAGATGGCCTCTGTCATGAGGCTGAACTGAGGGTGACACTGGAGACTGAGCTGACAGTGACACTGGTGACTCTGGAGACTGAGCTGAGAGTGGCTGCGGGGTCTAAATACACTGGGAAGTAACGAGGAGAATGAGACACAGAAGGAGAGCACAGCTGGGGGAAATTAGAACTGACGAGACAAGCAAAGCAGGACACATTCACATAAGTCACGGACCTTCAAAGTAAAACAGGAAGGATCACACAGAGACGCGAACTTGACACCGTGGAGACAGCAACTAAGAAACATAGAGACATAAACCATAAGGCAGAGGACTCTAAGAACCGATAGACACGGAGGGGAACTCAAACATGCAGACACAGACTTACAGAACAGAGGGGACACAGAAATGAGAAGGGCAAGGGATCGAAACTAGAAACTATAGAATAACTCACACCAAGTACAATAATACAAAAATCACAAAGAACTAAAACGCTGGGTCAGGAGACCCAGGACCCTGACAGCCTCACAGGAAGCACTGTCCCTGGTGTAATGTGTATGGCCTTGTGATGTAGCATAACTTAAGCAGCAAGGAAGGTGATAAGTAAATAGCATTAGCAGACAATTGAAGTTCTTTTTAAGCATACTTTATTGCTAGCATCTCCCCTTTACCATAAAACAATCAATCAGGCATGCAAAAATCCCACTGGCTTTATACAAGACTTTGCCCACACCTGACCTCGTTAGTCCCTACCATTGAACAAAATAGGTCAAACCAAATAATACAATTCTAAACAAAGAACAGGAATAAAGTCATGCATGAAACTGACAAACTCATTTACTCAACTACATAGTTTGTAAAGTAAAACACTGCATACAATATAACTCAAAAGGCTACTTTAAAGAAAACAAACAATACTATACAAAATGAAAAACCCTCCATTTGGTTACACCCAGTGATCCAATCATTGACCTCATGACCCTATATAAACAGGAAGTAGTGGGCGGCCCTTCCCATACACCTGTCTCACATATAGGACCTGCAAGCACAACATGGACACCATGGTAAGTATAACCAAAGCAACATAAAGAAACATAATTTACTAGACATGTGCCTGTAAACAGAAGAGAATTCAGATGATCTGATGGTTAGTAGTGTTTGCTTTAAAACACATGCATTGATGTAAAGAATGTAACTACTGCTACCACAAACAAAACCCGGGATATTGTGTGTTAAGAGAAGTTACACCAGCAATGTCTAAATTAAAGCATTATGGCTGACTGTAAAATAACAGAACACAGAATAACAATATACGCAAGTGACAAATGGCAAATGAATTCTGTCCTAGCCACTTTGTCTCATTCTCCCCCCCCTTAAGTCCGTTACTCTTCATAGGAACGGGAAAGAAAGCCTGCCACAACATTCTTTTTCGCTGCTCTATACAGAATCTTAAAACAATATGAATATGGCTGCAGTGAAAGATACCACCTCGTGATTCTTGCGTTGGTGTCTCTCATTCTGCTCATCCACTGTAAAGCTCAATGATCGGTTTCAAGCACAAATTCACCTCCCAGTAGATAGTATCTCAGAGTGTCCAAAGCCCATTTTATTGCCAAAGCTTCTTTTTCAATTGTGGAATACTTCATTTCTCTGGGGAAGAGCTTACGGCACAGGTCTTTGGTCCTCTCCATCACCTTGCAGCAACACAGCTCCCAGCCCAACTCCTGAAGCATCAGTCTGTACAATAAACGGGCACGTAAAGTCTGGACACTGCAACACAGGCTCATTACACAAACAGTTTTTCAAATCCATGAATGCAGCCTCACACTCTGGAGTCCATTTAATTTTGTTGGGGCATGATTTACGAGTTAAATCACTAAGAATAGCTGATCTGGTAGAGAAATTAGGGATGAAACGACGATACCAGCCAGCTAAACCCAGGAAGGATCTCAACTTTTTCTTTGTAGTTGGAGGAGGACAAGAGGCAAAAAGCTGTTCTTTTTTATTAGGCAAAAACATTTTCGGCAAAAAAACATTATGCAAAAACATTTTCGGCAAAAAAACATTATGCAAAAACATTTTCGGTGCTGTTAAGGAATTCACAGCGACTCACTTGTTTATTTTTGAGAAAGTTTATTTTTTTATCATATCAGATGAGCGGCAGTGACGTCAACGTACTCGATCGTTGTTCTTTTTTATTAGGCAAAAACATTTTTGGCAAAAAAACATTATGCAAAAACATTTTCGGTGCTGTTAAGGAATTCACAGCGACTCACTTGTTTATTTTTGAGAAAGTTTATTTTTTTATCATATCAGATGAGCGGCAGTGACGTCAACGTACTCGATCGTACCACAGGTAAGTGCGAATCTGAATCTGTAGATTTTTTAAAATTATTTTTCTTATTTAAAACCAAAAAGAAAACCCCGAAACAGTGAGCTCACAAAGCTGCTTTTAGCAGTTCCATGGGTTAAGATTAGCAATTTCGTGGAACAGCGAATGACTTAACATTTAATAGCATATATGTTACCACACCACATGTGCTGTAAGTTAGCTAAATTCATTTCTGTTAGCCAATCAAGTTAAGCTTATCATATATCATCATCCAGGGTACAGTGATAGAGAAGTGTGTGCTGACGTTTGCTGTTGTTGCCACTTTGTAAAGTTTGAGGGTTCTAATAAGGGTCAGTGTTGCCAGATTGGGTTGATGCTGAAATTGAAGATAGACGTTATCTATCAATCTAGCTCTCTCTTTATGGCTCTCTCTCTCATTCTGGCTCTCTCTCTCTCTCTCTCTCGCTCTCTCTCTCTCTCTCGATTTTAAACTTAATAACAGCATTACATAATCATTAAATAGCAGACCGATCATCTATGCTGCAAATGAAATACAAATGGACACTAAACAGGGTTTATCTAAATCGTTACAATAGGGTTTAATGTATATATTTATTTATAAGGTGCTTCTGAATTCTGAATACTTTTTTTTTTCCAAACAGGTTCTTCATCAATCAGCCTATTATTGATTGATTCCTTCCTACATCTGCTTTTTGAAAAACTCCTAAAGGCACTTTTAAGAGCCACGTCAGTCTGTTTGTATCTGTTCTTACTGCTGTCCTTATTGGTCTGTCTCTCTGTTTCTATCCGCATTTCTGTCTCTTTAACTCTTCAGCTTTTTTCTTGTTGTCAGTGTGCTGGTTAACCTATAATTTGCCTTTTGTCTGTCTGCTGCCTTTTCTGTCTGTAATTATTCTTTGTTTCAACATGACACGCCCCAAATTCAGGCCCTGTACATTTTGCCAGACTCCCAATCAGGCAAGCAGAAGAACCTGCTTTGTCTGCTTCGGAAGTCTGTCCAGCAAAAAGAAGCTAAAAGAAAAAGTAGAATCATTGGATAGCCAGTGGGCAGAAGTTGTCTTGAAAAACAGAAATGTTTGCCGGATAATTGATTCTGCCCGTATTGCAGTAAGTAAAAATTTTTTTGTTTCATATATTATCATTAAGTTGTTATAAGATGTTGCTGGCACATTAACACAGCTCATCATATGTGCTTTTGAGAACATGCAACAATATTTTATCTACATTTTGCTAAAGACAATTACTTTAACTGTAATACATCAGTGGTGGCTGTATGTATTCATATCAGTATGAATGTGTAAATGGCCTGTATTTGTATAGCGCTTTACTTAGTCCCTAAGGAACCCAAAGCACTTTACACTACATTCAGTCATCCACACACTGGTGATGGCAGCTACATTGTAGCCACAGCCACCCTGGGGCGCACTGACAGAGGCGAGGCTGCCAGACACTGGCGCCACCGGGCCCTCTGACCACCACCAGTAGGCAACGGGTGAAGTGTCTTGCCCAAGGACACAACGACCGAGACTGTCCAAGCCGGGGCTCGAACCGGCAACCTTCCGATTACAAAACGAACTGCCAACTCTTGAGCCACGATCGCTGTGTGTGAATGCTTAAATGGAAACTTCTAAGAAGCTGGTGTGAATATTGGTTAATATTGCATGTTGTATAAAGCACTTTTAGTGCTCCACGAGAAAACGCTATATAAGAGTCATTTCGTTTACCATTTAACAACAGGCTGTGTTTGACTAATTTGTGCCAACTATTTTTTTTATTAATTTCAGGTGCAGAAACTTGAGTCTATAGGCTACAAGCCCATTTTATTCATTGGTAAAAAAGACAAGAATTCACATAAGTGGGTAGCAGATGTTATTACCCATTTGGACCCCACTTCTACTACAAGAAATTTCCTGGAGAAGATGCAGAGGGCTTATGAATTTATACTGTCTAAGGGTAAGAGTGAAGTCTGTTGCATACTTTCAGTCCAGTTAATTAATGCTAATTTATATAGCAACTTTTCACAACAAGTCGTCTCAACTTGCTTTCACAATCAGAATACTTCATTAATCTTTAAGCAAATTGTGTATTTTAAGGTCATTAAATAACCATTGAAGGATATGTTATCAAAGGCTTCGTTCACACTGCAGGTCTTAATGCTCAATTCAGATTTTTTTGTCTGCTCGTTCACACTACAAATAAAATGTGACAGCAAACGCGCTCTAGTGTGAACGCCCAAAGCGGCCGCATGCGCAAAAGAAGACGTCACACACATTGCGCTCTGTTTAGACCCAGACCAAACAGTATTTTTTGACTGATGGCCCTTATTATAAAGACTTGTTTGAGACTTTGTTTCCCAATTTTGCTTTAAGTTATTTTGTTATTTACATATGGCCTAATAATGATCCTTATTGCTGTTTTAGAGAGGAGCGGTGCTTCAAAGGGTAGTTTCAGACTTCTGTCAGAATCTGCAAATAAAATGTTCACGTTTCTCCAACGTTGTCTTCCCAACAGTTTAGCTGGATGGCCAGGAAGCGTTCATGATGTCTTCTGTGGTGCTTCTCTGGCGCTGATAATTGGCGTCTGTCTTGTGTCAGTGACGTGGAAGATCGATTTAATGTGACAGGACCGTTCAAACAGCAGTCGCTTTCTAAAATATCAGCTATGTATCGGATTCAGTAACACATACGAACGTGACCCAAATTGGATTTGAAAATATCGGATTTGTGCCGTTCACACTGTCAGACCATGATCGGATATGGGTCGCAGAGGGTCAAAAAAATCGGATTTGCTGCGCTTTCGCCTGCAGTGTGAACATAGCCAAAGTGTAGTTCCTGCTAAATATAAGGCCTTTTTTGAAAAATATTTTTATGAAAGTAAATATGTTTTATAGGAACTTCCACACCAGTGCACCCCAATACCCCCACAGAACAGCAGCTTGTGCAGTCCAAGAATGCCACCAAGGAGCATTGTGCCGACAAACAGACCCACATCAAAGAACACACAGAGATCCCCAGTGAAGAACAGGCAGAGACCCTGATCAACAAGCAAGCAGAGAGCCTCGCCAAGGAGCAGCCTGAGATGACCACCCAGGAACCTCAATCTTCTAGGCTCCTCGAGGAGCACCCAAAGAGCCTGTCAGACGAGCAGACAGAGACTGTTTTTGTTCTCAATCTTGTTCCTTTATCTCCTTCTTCTGTTCCATTCTCCCAGTCTTTCCAAAAAAAAGAAGAGAGACAGAAGCACCTCACAAACAACCTCTCCCACCTCTCCACCACCTTTTAAACCCGCAGACCAGCCATCTCTGCCGTCTCTTCATCCACCTGCTAGCCATGCGATCTCCCAGTCCTTAAGTGAGGGTGGCCAACATGAAAATAAGAAGAGAAAGAGTAAGTATTGCTTTGCATGTTATGTCTTGAGATTTTCAAGTTTCTTACCCAAAAATGATACATATGTTGTCCTAGAGAACTAACAAACCATTGCAAAGTATTATTCACTAGTTATTTAGCTGCATTTTGGTGTACACTATAAAAAGACTATAATTAAATATGGTCAATCCCTTACTTTAGTTAAGAGGACTTTGTAATTCAACTTGATTGGATTGAGAAAACTAAAACGCACTTTGAGAGAACATTTTAGTTTCTCTCAACAAATAGTGTATGCATTTATATAAACAAGGTCTGGTGGCACTCAATTGCAAAATGAAGGGTGAATTTTTTTGTTAATTTGTTGGTCCTAAGTGAAACTAAGTTTTTACACAGAATTGATTCACAATTTATGGTATGTACTTTAAAAAAAAAAACTCAACTGAGGTGGGTTCACTTTTTGACCCCAGAGGACAAATGGAGTATGGCAATCAGGAGGATATTACAGATTTTCACTTGTTGAGTGAAAACTCATATTTGATTTCTTGTGTATACAGAGTCTTATGTTTTTTTAAATGTAATTTTTCATTTCTTAGGCTGTCGAAGATGTAGTAGGCAGAAGGTGTTCCAGTTTGAAGAAGTCACTGAGAGCAGGATAAATGAGGTAATACTTAAAATGTTTTAATTTGCTTTTCAGTAGACTTTTTACAGTAAGCCTATCTCAAGTTGTTTTCATCCATGCACTACAGCCATGAACTGTGCTACATGGGTAAATTCAAATGTACTTTTGAGATTAGTGAAGGGAAATGATTAATGGAATTACATTAAAAGATTGTATTGTATTTCATGTGTTTGTTCTTAAACAATTCTGCAAAATTAATCACAGACATTGAATACTGCTACATCTTGCTACAAAAACCTACATGGCTAACATAGAAATGACTGTATATGAGGAAGGATCATATTTTTTTCTGTGTAAGCCTATATCCTCAGTTGTTCTTGTTGAATCAGGATCATAGAAAGCACAATTTATAGATCCTGATATATGCTGACCAGCCCTGTCTCACTATAAATAGTAGATAATCATGTGTAGTTTGAAGTGTTTAAATGGACACAATTCAAACAATTCATAATGGGATGATATTGATTATGTCAGTGTATGATGTATCAAGTACGTCAAACTTTCCGAAGAAAAGAACATAGCCAGAGTCAAAAACAGATAGACGCAGTTAACTAAACCTGTGATCAAAATAATTTTTTGTGAATGCCACAATTGGATACATGCTTTTCAAAATCCTATTATTATTTTTTTTATAAACGGAAATGCCTTACATACACATACCTACACATCTATCAAAGTGTGTTTACATGGGTCTGTGTGTGTCTCAGGTGTGCACACTGGATTACACACAAGCTTTATGAAGACACCTATCCATTAACCATGTTATTTAACGATTGCCTCTCTGATTCCTTCTGTCTAGGGGAACACAGAAGTAAAAGTGCGTTGGTTGCCTTGCTCTGTTTGGTAAGAAGCTCTTGATATTTCATTCTCTGAGAATGTTCTGTTTCCATCTATTACCTTTTTGGAGCACAAATGAAAATGGAAAACCAGGTGTTTTGTCACGTCTTACTTCTCGCTTTTTTTCTTATCCTATCTCGATTATTTAATCAATTAAGGATTATTGCAAAGTTTTTTGCCATCTTTGTCAAATCATAAAATAACAAATTTAATAAGAAATATATTTGAAACTGTTCAGAAAACACACGTAGTGTCTCACTTAGATGCAAAAGTACTGGGAATAATTCCAGCTGGACTGTGCTGAGGCCATAAGAGCACTCACATTAATTGTAAGAAATATATAAAAGCTATCAGGATTTTGACAAAGTGGAGAGAATTTGTCCATGTCTTACACAGATTTATGTGTGCCAAAGGATAAATCGCCTAAGCAGTGGAGGGAGTATTCAGATTCTGAACTTTCCAAAGAAGTACTTATATCACACTGTGAAAGCTTTCAGTTGTTTTGCATACTGTATTTCTAGCATTACAATTGTGTGACAGCAATGAATCTCTACAAATTAAAGAGTAAACAACAGCCTTTATAATAATCCAAAAGAAACTAATTATCACATTTGAACAATTTTTATTTTCACTTCACAGAAAGGATATTATGAACTGTTCAACTGAAAAACAATAACTAAGTCTTTCATATGTGTCGAGTGTAACTGTACAGTAGTGTTTTGTTTGTAATCCATCTAAATTACAAATAGTGTAGCAGAAGTTGAAAATATCCATAAAAATGACAATTTGCATTTTAGTACAGTACTTAAGGAAATGTCTTTATCATGTTCCACCTCTGGTGTTAAACATAAAAAGCACGAAGTAATCCCCAACATGATATTAATGTTTTTGGTGTTGTTTCTTTCAATAATTATATTTTCCAGTGGGAAAATCTGGGATGACACGTGGGAGCCAGCCAGTGAATTTCAACACCACTTTGCCATGCCAGATGTGCCACCTCCTTCAGCCACTGAGGAAGTCTTTTTATGATGTTGTGATGTTTGTTTTTCCATGTTACAAACAAGTAAGATATAATGTCTGAAAACTGAAGTTGTGTACTGTCTACAAGGAACACTTTCAGAAATATGTGGAACCAAAGGTCCATACATCCAGATGTCACATTGATCTTCTCTGTTCACAGACTGGATATGTTCATTTTCAGCAGTTTGATTGTTTAGAAATGTTAGACAAATATTTATACTTGTTAAAATGCATTGTGTTACGTAAAAAAAGACTTTATATTATGTTGTTAACTACAATAGTAGTTCTGTGTTCTTAACTTGAATGTTTTTGTACAGCATTTATATTTGCTACATTCTTTAAAAAGTGAGTGTAGGCTGTTATAATTGTTACGGTGAATATGACCCACAGCTAGCAACTCAATCCATAAAACCCATAAGTCTGTTTCCCTTTGTTTCTCATATGAAGTTGTTATTGTAAACAGGTGTTCTGTTTAGTTTAAAGTATGAAGGCTGGTGAAATTGTACTGAGTACTGTCAATGAAAAGTAAAATAAAAAAATCAAAGGTCTATTGAGATATGAGAACTTGTAGTACTGTTTGATGTTGAGACTGAAAGTTTCCATTACTAGTAGTATCAACTTTCATAATTTTCTTAGATGCTCAACATTGACTTGGCCTTGATCCACCTACACTGTTATATAACTTCATTCTCTATGCAAATATTATTTTTTCTGCTTTGCACATATAATGTATACATAGAACACAGAAAATGTCAAATTGCACTACCAGTAATCATTTCAAGTGTGATGTCCCCACAAATAATAAGCATGTTAGATTATGTACACATTTTCAAATTAAAATCAACATTGAATGTGGCTTTGTCCCATTACCACTGACAACATTCTTTTGAGTATTTTAACTACATTGATTATTAGAGGTTTAAGTCAACCCTCTGAGCTCTAACAGCACTTAACCCTGTATATTGGGACTATGTCGTTTTTGGCTTTAGAATATTACTAACAAATATTGGCCGTCATAGGAGAAAGAGAATTAAGCTGTTTCTGTAGAGAGATACGACCTGAACTACTATTTAGGGTTAGGGGCCAGTACAATAGCAAAACTGCTTAAAGAGATTGGAGCCAGAGGACAGGTGCTGCTGCAGGTTATAAGAAAATTAGCTAACACTGCTGAGTGGGCCAATCGCTGGCTGTGGTTAAAGAGGGCTGAGATCACTTGGGCAGTCAGCTATCCGCAACACACATGCCCAGAATTGATCAAACTGTGGTGGAGCTACCTAAGCAGGGGGCATCAAAAGGGTAGAAAACATAACACTATAATTTGTACTGTGATAGACCTGAAGCCTTGTTGACTGATACAGCTGTTTCAGGGCTCCTGGGGCTGTGCAGTTAACCTCATGGTAGTGAAACATAAGGCAGGAATGAAAAAACGTTTTGCTTCTACCCTCAGCTCTTTTTCCTGTTTGTGGGAGGCAGTGGAGATGTAGAGGGTACAGCCCGATCTGGGCGCGGAGGTATGGGATGCCAGATCACATGCCCCAGTTCCGGCTCTCCTCTCTCCTATGTTATCTCTTTTCTCTTTCACCTTTTCTATCTCTTTAAGAAGTGAGGCTCTTTAAGCACTAAAGACCTAAATAGTACTTATCGTTTTGCAGTGAAGTGATAGAAGAAAATAAATTGTAGAAAACTAAATAGGAAAAAGTAGAAGAGAAATAGCAATTTCACATCAACCAGTGACACACCCCGGGGCCTGATCAACCCTGGCAGGGCCTCCATTTATGAGGGTGTCTACTGGTAAGGGCCAAAACACCCAATGAATCCAAGGCCCACTACTGATGATGTGTCACAATATTTTATATTATAATCTGGATTTGGTCTTTAATCCCTAAACCTAACCAAGAACTTTAAAAGAAACTAAAAAATGGCAAATATCTTTTGATAAAAGACCAAAAGACACTGTGAAGTTGATGCACACAACGATTTGTCCTCCTGATGAAGTTTCAGGACTGCCTTTCTCCATAGTGGCCATCCATCTATTCCTTTTGTGGAATAAATGTATGTGCTGTATGTGTCACAAATACCTAAATTTGATCTGGTGTGGGCTATAGTATTGAAAGGGTTGCATAATAAGAAATTGTTTTTGTTTGTGAAATAGATTTCTACGTTCTTTTTCACAAATTACTTACATGATTGGCAGTCATTGATAGGTTTGTAGCTTGAACCCATCCGCTGGAACATTGAAGACAATATAATTACACTGCAAAGCAAGACACAAGTAGGCAAAGTTCTTCATGTTACTCGTGCACGGGAGAGACCGGACAGAGTGCCGTTCCTTCACTTGACCCCAGTTGCTCTCGTCCGTTCTCCCGTACCACTGCCCTTTTATTGAGGTTACATGAATATGCATAGGTTCATTAACATATGACGTCTACATACACACAAAGAGTACCTTGCCTGTGTGTGTGTGTGTGTGTGTGTGTGTGTGTGTGTGTGTGTGTGTGTGTGTGTGTGGACTGCTGATCAAAATGTGTGTGTACTGCTGATCAAAGGGTCAAACATCCTTGGTCAGGAAGAGGGTAGCCTCACCCTAGATGGTTCATCCTAGATAACACAGTAAGGAAGTCCAGCAGTTCATTTATACACAAAAGCACTTAGACTAGAACAGACGTAGCTACGTTAATCCTACCATAAAACAATTAAGCAAGGTACGAACTTTCCCATGCTCCCAGGATGTAGGTGTGCATTCTAGTGTGGAATGCACACCAAGCCTCTGTAGCCTGTTAAAGATCACACAACCTATCACTACACAATTGATTATACACCTCTAAGCATCTATGGTTAAATATTTCTAAGCATAAATGACAATCAACAATACAAACTCTAACAGTCATTTTCAGTTTTTACATATCAAGTCTACAGTCATAACTATATTAAACAGAAATGTGTTTTATGTCTTTGTCATGGAAATATAAATGTTGCTAAATTTTAACTGTGGTGACAAAATGATCCATTGAAACTGCATGAAAACATCAAACTGACAGTTATTTTTCAACTTTATTTGATTGTGGTCATTGGTAATATAAAAACAAATAAACTACAGTGATACAGACAATTTAATGAAATTTGGTGGGGGTAAAATGACAATGATGTTGGTCCACCCTAAGACACTGTAGGCTTAGTAACCACTGGATCAATTAATACTCTAAATTAAAAAAAAAATATGGTTGAGCACATCGCTGTACAACTGGAACTAAACAAAAAAAGTTTTATATCCAAAAGTTAATTTGTGGATCAGGGTTGTTGTGACAGAATCAGCTGAACTGCCTACTGTACTGTAGTATGATTATTTTAAAAATAAGCACAAGTACTAGTAATGCACTCAAACATTATTGATACTGTTGATACGAATGATACATACCATGAAAATATACTTAACATGTACATCAAAATACTCAAGAATGAAAACTCTCACCTGTGACAAGCATACTTGAAATTTGCTTACTAAGTTCTATCAATCACATTTCAATATGTCTTGTAAATTCTGTGAGCCAAAAATATATTACAGTAACTTAACATGACAAAAATGTAAAAAGTACAAAATCTCCCTCTGATACATAACAGTGTACTATTATGTATTACCAAAATGCATGTTTAAAAACAGTGTAACAGGGTAGTTTTTAGCTCTACGAATGACATTAAATAAAAATGTGCCAGCTGTCTTTGTAAAAAACTATATGCATTGATGTGATGAAGTCTTGGGAATGCACTGTCAATGACTGGTCTATGGCCAACTTGAAAAAATTGGGGCCCCCAGCATTAAACCTGCAAGGTAGCAAGTTGATATAACTTTGAGGACAAACTGATATATTACAGATATTTATTACCGACTTTAATCAGAATATTCAGAGTCACTGTAAAAGTCATCGTCGGAAGTATGATCAAGGTTAATGTTCTTTGCTCCTGACAAAACTTGCATGTAACACTGTCTTGCGTGCAGCTTGTTTTGTTTCACATTCTGTCGTTTTCTGAGGATGATGCTCTGTAGACCTCTCAAACCCTCCTCACTTAGGCCACAATGCGAACCTTAAAAATAGAACATGTAATTTAGTCTGCTTTAATGCCTTAAGAAACAGTCAGTGTTTTGTATGCATTACTTAAATACATACTTTTAAATATCTCACTGGAAAACAGGCCGGACAGCTCTTTCAGGATATCATCATATTTTGAAAGAGATTTCCAGTGATGGTCCATCTCTGTAACAAGAATCTTCTTTTCCTCCTCAAGTCTTCTTATTGCCATGATGATATCGAATGCCCTTCTCTTTGTTGTAAGGCTGACAGAGTCTGAAATGCATTTATAACAAAGTTATAAATCAATTCACAAAGAACGTCTGAAGTCGTAAATGATTTTAGGTCAACACCTGAAGCTTAGGGTTTCATTATATGTCAGATATGCTGAAAGTAGACAACATATATGTACAACTACCGCTGTGTGCCCGCTGCCACGGCCAGCTTGTGTCACCAGACAGAATTTCTTCCAAGCACAGAGTTTCTTTGTCTGGAAACATTCTGTTGTATTTTTCCACAGCAGAAGTCATGATTCCTTTCTCTTCTCTGATCTTGCGACGAATCTTGGCACGGGCTTTATTTCCATCGGTGTCTTTGTACAGACGCTGGGATCGTCTCTTTATGCTTGCTACGAGCACTTCGATTCTGCTCACCAAGGGATCAATATCACTTGTGCTTGTTGTTGCTGCTTAGAAGAAATAACACAGCTACACTTACATAAAGTCATTGTACAATTGCATCACATTTTTGAATCAGTTTTTGCTCACCTTCTGCCCAATCCTTTACATCACTGACCCATTCATCCAGTTGACTGTCAGTCACTGCTAATTGGACTTTTAAGGACTCCAGGTTCTGAAGCTGGGTTAGAAGAGCTTTTGTGGCCTACATTGTCAATTTGAGATTAAAAAACAAACAAACAAACAAAAAACACTAAACACATGTTTACTCCAAATAATAAGAACACAGAGGAGTAATCATCTAAAAATAAAGTAACAATATCATTACCTTCTGATATCGATGGGTCAGAGAGGTGGCCAACTGGTCTAGCTTTTGTTGATTCCAGCGCATGGCCATAAGAGTTAGCATGTCACTCCGTCCTGCAAACACAGAAAACGTAGTGTTACCACTTTCATCATAATTACACACTTAAAATCTAACTAGTGCAGGATTTGCCTTCTCACCTGCTTTGGACATATGTTTTGTGGTAACTGCAATCCTTGACAAAAAGGCATTACATTGCTCTACCTCCTCCCCTAGAGTCAAACCAGCCCCATCTTGATATGCTCCACTCCATTTCACCTGAAAACACACACACACACACACACACACACACACACACACACACACACACACACACACACACACACACACACACGCACACACACACACACAGATAAAATACAAATTACACAAAATGTTGATGTGCAATTGTTCAGATAAAGTCATTAAAGTCAGAATTTCATACCTCACATTTGAAATCGTGGGCTTTAGCATGAAAGACTGAAAGAAATGGCTTCATGCTAAGAAGGTGCTGGAGCTCTGGACAGCTTTTTGTTACTCTTTCAAGATATGGCCAATACTTGCAGGTAACATCCATACAAAAAAAAGTGATATGTCTATTGGCCAGCTTTTGTTGCAGGTACAAGGGATAAGCAAAAATTTCACCCCTGTACATATTTAGAGCACGGAGCAGCACTCCATGCCTACACACTGCAAGCTCCAGTCCCTCCTCATCCACCTTGCTGCTGGATCTTTGGGAGGTCTCTCTGGCTGCTGACCACTCCCCTCCACAAACACCTCGTCCGGAGACCTAAAATGCATTAAATAGCTGGTGACAATGTCTTTTCACAATCTCTTCAACAGAGTGTTAAAGGTTAACATAATTATGTCTATGTAATTAGAGCGTTCAATCTTACATGTCTGGATGTGCTGTGTATGTAGTCCACAAATCTTCCCACATCTTCATCCTTTGCTATGAAGGCGTCTTCAAAGATGCCCAGTTCCTCAGATCTGAACAAAATAGCAATACAGTATACTTTATGGTGTCATACAAAGTAAGTCCAAAGTTAATTGGTGCACCTTATAGTCACATTGTCTGAAACAAACGTTGGTATTACACATATTTTGCTGTACCTGGCTGCATTCTTGAAACGGTAATGCTTGCGGTTTCCATCCACTGAAATTGCAAGCATGTCTGGGGCACATGCATGACATGTGAAGGGATCCTCCTTTAAAATCTTGTCTAATTCATATCTCACGGCTTCCCACTCAAAGAAACTTTTCTTAAAGCCATCTGCAGAGATCTTTCCCGTCTGGTTTAAAATGAAAGACATAAACAGAAAACTACGCTACAAGTGACTTTTAAATCCTGAATAACACAGAAGAACCATACTGTAAAGGATGCATAAACTAAAATGCTCACACGGCCAAAGTGGAGAGTTCGTTGATTAAGCATTTTTAAAAATGCTTTGCAGGAGAGTCCGGGTGATGCCATCTTCATTTCTTCAAATGTGAAGAAGGCATCTGTTGCGTACAAAGTAGAAAAGTGAAGGGTAGAGGGCCAGTAATCACTTAGATTTAGGTCATCTACTCCAGCAGTCCAAGAAGCTTCACATGTCTCACACCTCAGCTCTGGCATGCTGAGATTGTAACGTCCTAGAAAAGTGAAAAACTCATGACTCCAGAGTAAAAGTTTATTATCTTTGGGTTAGGTCTTCTTTTTGTCTCAGAATAAACTGCAACAATGCTTGTGAGGGTTTAGTTTTAGGTGAATTATTTACAGATGGTTGTCAGTCAGGACAAAATGAAGTTCTTCTTACCATTCATTGTGACCACAGCAACAACCTTTCCTGGTCTGACCCTCAAACACTCTGGTGGACAGCCGCAGATTGTGACTGGGCTCTCCACAGGTACAAGTCGTGCTAAAGAAGTCAACATGTATGCGTAACATATGATTTAAATAAGTTTATTAACTATGAAGTAAAACGTTGAAATGTGACTAAGATATGGTAGGACCAACTGAGCCTTACTTGAAACAATAAAAAAAACCAACTTAACAGCTCAAAGCTAACAGTGTAGTTGAGAGCTGAGGAAGCATCAACTTTTTTAAAAAATGAGATAGAGAGAGAGAGCGTAAGGGAAATGTATAAACAGTAAACATAATAAGTTTAGTCACAGAACTTACCATCATGGCAAAGGGTCTTATTTACAATGTAAGTTGTTGGAGGCAATGACTTAACTTGATTGGCTAACAGAAATGAATTTAGCTAACTTACAGCACATGTGGTGTGGTAACATATATGCTATTAAATGTTAAGTCATTCGCTGTTCCACGAAATTGCTAATCTTAACCCATGGAACTGCTAAAAGCAGCTTTGTGAGCTCACTGTTTCGGGGTTTTCTTTTTGGTTTTAAATAAGAAAAATAATTTTAAAAAATCTACAGATTCAGATTCGCACTTACCTGTGGTACGATCGAGTACGTTGACGTCACTGCCGCTCATCTGATATGATAAAAAAAATAAACTTTCTCAAAAATAAACAAGTGAGTCGCTGTGAATTCCTTAACAGCACCGAAAATGTTTTTGCATACTGCTTTTTTGCCGAAAATGTTTTTGCCTAATAAAAAAGAACAACGATCGAGTACGTTGACGTCACTGCCGCTCATCTGATATGATAAAAAAATAAACTTTCTCAAAAATAAACAAGTGAGTCGCTGTGAATTCCTTAACAGCACCGAAAATGTTTTTGCATAATGTTTTTTTGCCGAAAATGTTTTTGCATAATGTTTTTTTGCCGAAAATGTTTTTGCCTAATAAAAAAGAACAGCTTTTTGCCTCTTGTCCTCCTCCAACTACAAAGAAAAAGTTGAGATCCTTCCTGGGTTTAGCTGGCTGGTATCGTCGTTTCATCCCTAATTTCTCTACCAGATCAGCTATTCTTAGTGATTTAACTCGTAAATCATGCCCCAACAAAATTAAATGGACTCCAGAGTGTGAGGCTGCATTCATGGATTTGAAAAACTGTTTGTGTAATGAGCCTGTGTTGCAGTGTCCAGACTTTACGTGCCCGTTTATTGTACAGACTGATGCTTCAGGAGTTGGGCTGGGAGCTGTGTTGCTGCAAGGTGATGGAGAGGACCAAAGACCTGTGCCGTAAGCTCTTCCCCAGAGAAATGAAGTATTCCACAATTGAAAAAGAAGCTTTGGCAATAAAATGGGCTTTGGACACTCTGAGATACTATCTACTGGGAGGTGAATTTGTGCTTGAAACCGATCATTGAGCTTTACAGTGGATGAGCAGAATGAGAGACACCAACGCAAGAATCACGAGGTGGTATCTTTCACTGCAGCCATATTCATATTGTTTTAAGATTCTGTATAGAGCAGCGAAAAAGAATGTTGTGGCAGGCTTTCTTTCCCGTTCCTATGAAGAGTAACGGACTTAAGGGGGGGGAGAATGAGACAAAGTGGCTAGGACAGAATTCATTTGCCATTTGTCACTTGCGTATATTGTTATTCTGTGTTCTGTTATTTTACAGTCAGCCATAATGCTTTAATTTAGACATTGCTGGTGTAACTTCTCTTAACACACAATATCCCGGGTTTTGTTTGTGGTAGCAGTAGTTACATTCTTTACATCCATGCATGTGTTTTAAAGCAAACACTACTAACCATCAGATCATCTGAATTCTCTTCTGTTTACAGGCACATGTCTAGTAAATTATGTTTCTTTATGTTGCTTTGGTTATACTTACCATGGTGTCCATGTTGTGCTTGCAGGTCCTATATGTGAGACAGGTGTATGGGAAGGGCCGCCCACTACTTCCTGTTTATATAGGGTCATGAGGTCAATGATTGGATCACTGGGTGTAACCAAATGGAGGGTTTTTCATTTTGTATAGTATTGTTTGTTTTCTTTAAAGTAGCCTTTTGAGTTATATTGTATGCAGTGTTTTACTTTACAAACTATGTAGTTGAGTAAATGAGTTTGTCAGTTTCATGCATGACTTTATTCCTGTTCTTTGTTTAGAATTGTATTATTTGGTTTGACCTATTTTGTTCAATGGTAGGGACTAACGAGGTCAGGTGTGGGCAAAGTCTTGTATAAAGCCAGTGGGATTTTTGCATGCCTGATTGATTGTTTTATGGTAAAGGGGAGATGCTAGCAATAAAGTATGCTTAAAAAGAACTTCAATTGTCTGCTAATGCTATTTACTTATCACCTTCCTTGCTGCTTAAGTTATGCTACATCACAAGGCCATACACATTACACCAGGGACAGTGCTTCCTGTGAGGCTGTCAGGGTCCTGGGTCTCCTGACCCAGCGTTTTAGTTCTTTGTGATTTTTGTATTATTGTACTTGGTGTGAGTTATTCTATAGTTTCTAGTTTCGATCCCTTGCCCTTCTCATTTCTGTGTCCCCTCTGTTCTGTAAGTCTGTGTCTGCATGTTTGAGTTCCCCTCCGTGTCTATCGGTTCTTAGAGTCCTCTGCCTTATGGTTTATGTCTCTATGTTTCTTAGTTGCTGTCTCCACGGTGTCAAGTTCGCGTCTCTGTGTGATCCTTCCTGTTTTACTTTGAAGGTCCGTGACTTATGTGAATGTGTCCTGCTTTGCTTGTCTCGTCAGTTCTAATTTCCCCCAGCTGTGCTCTCCTTCTGTGTCTCATTCTCCTCGTTACTTCCCAGTGTATTTAGACCCCGCAGCCACTCTCAGCTCAGTCTCCAGAGTCACCAGTGTCACTGTCAGCTCAGTCTCCAGAGTCACCCTCAGTTCAGTCTCCAGTGTCACCCTCAGTTCAGCCTCATGACAGAGGCCATCTTCACCACACCAGGGAGTGTGCTTTTGGATGAGGCCATACACATTACACCAGGGCCTGTGGTGCTGGCCAATACCATCCACATCTCACCAGGGCCACTGTTCTTAGCTGAGGCCATCCACATTACACCAGGGACAGTGCTTCCCTTGAGGCCATCTTCACCCAACCAGGGCCTCTGCTGCTCGTTGATGCCATCCACAGTACACAAGGGCCTGTGGTGCTGACCAATATCATGCACACTTCACCAGGGCCAGTCGTGTTGGCTGAGGACATCCACATTACACCAGGGCCTGTGGTGCTGGCCAATACCATCCACATTTCACCAGGGCCACTGTTGTTGGCTGAGGCCATACACATTACACCAGGGACAGTGCTTCCTGTGAGGCCATCTTCACCACACCACTGCCTGTGTTACTGGCACAGGCCATCCACATTACACCCGGGCCTGTGGTGTTGTCCGAAACCATCCACTTTTCACCAGGGCTTGTGTTTCTGCCTGATGACATCCACAAAACACAGGGGCCTGTGATACTGGCTGATGCCATCCACATTACACCACTACCAGTGCTTCCTGTGAGGCCATCATCACCACACCAGGGTGCGTGGTGCTGGATGAGGCCATCCACATTACACCAGGGCCTGTGGTGCTGGCCAATACCATCCACATTTCACCAGGGCCAGTGTTGTTGGCTGAGGCCATACACTTTACACCAGGGACAGTGCTTCCTCTGAGGCCATCTTCACCACACCAGTGCCTGTACTGTTGGATGAGGACATCCACATTACACCAGGGACAGTTCTTCCTGTGAGGCCATCATCACCACACCAGGGCCTGTGCTACTTGCTGATACCATCCACATTACACCAGGGTCTGTGGTGCTGACCAATACCATCCACATTTCACCAGGGCCAGTGTTGGTGGCTGAGGCCATCCACATTACACCAGGGACAGTGCTTCCTGTGATTCCATCATCACCACACCAGGGCCTGTGGTGCTGGCCAATACCATCCACATTTCACCAGGGCCACTGTTGTTGGCTGAGGCCATACACATAACACCAGGGACAGTGCTTTTCGCTGAGGCCATCATCACCACACCAGGGCGTGTGGTGCTGGATGAGGCCATCCACATTACACCAGGGACAGTGCTACTCGTAGTTGCCATCCACATTACACCCGGGCCTGTGGTGTTGTCCGAAACCATCCACATTTCACCAGGGCTTGTGTTTCTGCCTGATGACATGCACAAAACACAGGGCCCTGTGATACTGGCTGATGCCATCCACATTACACCACTACCAGTGCTTCCTGTGAGGCCATCATCACCACACCAAGGCCTGTGGTGCTGGATGAGGCTATCCAGATTACACCAGGGCCTGTGGTGCTGGCTGAGGCCATCCACATTACACCAGGGCCACTGTTGTTGGCTGAGGCCATACACTTTATACCAGCGACAGTTCTTCCTGTGAGGCCATCATCACCAGACCAGGGCCCGTGCTACTTGCTGATGCCATCCACATTACACCAGGGCCAGTGCTCCCTGTGAGGCCATCTTCACCACACCAGGGCCTGCTTTGCTGGCTGATGTGATCCACAATTCACCAGGGCCTGTGCTACTGGCTAAGGCCATTCACATTAAACCAGGGTGTGTGGTGCTGACCAATACGATCCATATTTCACCAGGGCCACTGTTGTTGGCTGAGGCCTAACACATAACACCACTGACAGTGCTTTTGGCTGAGGCCATCATCACCACACCAGGGCGTGTGGTGCTGGATGAGGCCATCCACATTACACCAGGGCCTGTGGTGCTGGCCAATACCATCCACATTTCTCCAGGGCCAGTGTTGTTGGCTGAGGCCATCCACATTACACCACTGCCAGTGCTGCCTTTGATTCTCCATCGCACTGCACTCTGTCCTCTCACACCTGGACAACAACAACACCTACGCCAGAATGCTGTTTATAGACTTCAATTCAGCATTCAACACAATCCACCCCTCACAACTCATCAGGAAACTGACAGACCTGGGCATCAGCTCCCTCATCTGCAAATGGTTACTGGACTTCCTGACCAACCGCCCCCAACATGTCCGGCTGGATAACCACTGCTCATCTACCATCACAATGAACACCGGTGTACCACAAGGCTGTGTGATGAGCCCTTTCCTCTACTCCCTCTTCACCCACGACTGCAGACCTGCTGATGGTTCCAACACCATCATTAAGTTTGCAGATGACACCACGGTGATTGGCCTCATCAGTGACAACGATGAGGCCGCCTACAGGGAGGAGGTGGATCGTCTGGCTGAGTGGTGCGACACAAACAACCTGCTGCTTAACACCGAGAAGACCAAGGAGCTCATCGTGGACTACAGGAGGAATGCTGACCCACATCCACCCATCCACATTAAGGGGACGGCTGTGGAGCGTGTGAGCAGCTTCAAGTTCCTGGGAGTCCACATCTCCGAGGATCTCACCTGGACGACCAACTGCTCCAAGCTGGTCAAGAAGGCTCACCAGCGCCTCTTCTTCTTGAGGACCCTGAGGAAGAACCACCTGTCCTCAGACATCCTGGTGAACTTCTATCGTTGCACCATCGAGAGCATCCTGACCAACTGTATAACAGTCTGGTACGGGAACTGCTCTGCCTCGGACTGGAAGGCGTTGCAGAGGGTCGTGAAAACTGCCCAGCGCATCGCCAGAGCACCACTTCCTGCCATAAAAGACATCTACAGGAAGCGGTGTCTGAAAAGGGCTGGGAAAATCATCAAAGACCCCAGTCACCCATCACATGGACTCTTCACCCTCCTGCCCTCTGGGAGGCGCCACAGGAGCCTCCGGACTAAGACCACCAGGTACCGGAACAGCTTCTTCCCCACAGCTGTCAGACTCCTGAACTCTGCCTCCTGACATCTGACCCACGTTAAACTCATGGACTGAACATACACACACCCACAATGGACAACTGTACCCTCAAACACACAATAATAACATGGAGTGAACCACCACTCACAACCACTAGCACTTTATATAGCCTCTGTAGTATTAGATTATTCTGTTATTATATGTTACCTTATATATGTAATCAAAGTAGTTGAATTAGAATACTGCTGTAGATCACATTATACCCTTTAATATAGAGTGTGTGAGCTGTATGTAGTGTAGTTCTCATTATACTTTTGAGTTAACAGAACATATTCACATATTAGTTCATTAGATAAATGTGCATCACTCTGTATCCTTGATCTGCTGGGAATGTGTTACACTGTTTTCTTGACATGCTTAATTGTTGAATCATGAAGAGAAGGTTGTAAGCAGGAGACTCTGTGTCTAAAGACAGGGGAGATAGATAGACCACATTCCACACCCCCACCTTACAGAAAGCAGAGAAACAACTGCCGAGGTCATAACTTAGGCGCTGTAACAGAGAAAGAATGTGATGTTTTGGCTTTTACGACTAGCTGGGGGCCACTAGAGACTATAAAAAGCTGAGCAACCCGTCACCATTTTGAGACATGTGCCTGACCCTCTGGTAGCATCTCTCCCGTCCGGACGTTGTAATGCTCTGACTGTTGAATTGTATGGAAATAAATGATTGTTGATTGAGCATTGATACACCGAGTATTGTCCCTCCTTCAGCCCAAAGATTCAAAGAATTGGGAGATTTCAACAACTTGGTGCCGTGTGACCCGGATCTTTGGTGTGCTGAGGAGGTGTAGATTTGGCCTTTGGTGAGATCGTGGGGCAAAGTGAACAGAAGGCCGGCCTAAAACAGAAAGGTAAGCACAGCCTGTTGTATTATAAATACCAAATGTGCATATTGGGCTTTCCAAATTAATCTGTTCGCTGAGTCACATGTATTTTCACAGTAAATTTGTCGGTGTGTGGTTTTTGGCGCAAGATACTAACAACATAAGTTGAGGCTGAATTCCAGTGTGTTAAATAAACTGCTTCTACCGAGATACTAATAACATACTACGTTGGACTAGTTGCAGTAAACTGCTTCTACCGAGATACTAATAACATACTACGTTGGACTAGTTGCAGCCACTTTACCTTCCACATTTAATTTTGTCTAATACTGGCTTCTGTAGCAATAAT